GAGGGACAGGGTGGCTTTTCTCTTTTCAATTTTCTCTCATCACCCTCTGAGTTCATTCATGGGTTTCTACTGGCCCTGAGCATAGGTTGTCCTGGGCTTTTTGTTAATAGATGGCTCTAATTTGTCTAGAATTTGGCTGTGGATAGCTAGAGGGATTGATTTCATAAGGAAAAGAATCAGCAGCTTTATTGTGTCTTGGCATATTGAGTGTCTGTGAGCACTTATCTTAAAGTCTGAACCAGATCTGAAAGTCTACGGCTGAAGTTAAAGATGGCTTCCGCCCTGCGCTTAATATCCACTAGGGCCCTGTCGAGGGGTGTCAGGCAACTTGAAATCCTGTGTGGTTTTGCCATCCAGGACCAGTCTGCTTTCCCTTTGGTCTTTGTATCATTCCCAAATTGAGGACAATTGTTCTTCTGGCTATATCCTTCCCTTCCAACTCCAGGGCCTGAAGAATGTCAGCCTCATGCTATTGCTGCTGCTGCTGCTGCTGCTGCTAGTAGTTTTGTTAAAGAAGCTGGTGTTTGAGGCTGTGTGAGACTCATGCCCCTTTTAAATAAGCCAGACTCTATTGGCTGAGACCCAGACTGTCTTATGGAGGCTGCTGAATAAACCAACGTTGGGGAATAAGAATTGTAGAATTAGGTTGCTTTTCTTCCCTGCATCTCAGGATCCAAGGCCTTCGAGAGACTCTGCCATTTTTTTTTCCACAGTTCTTCAGGTAAGAGGATAAACAGAAAGATACTGCATCTATCAGATCCTGTCCACACTTTCTTCGCCAAGATTCCGGAGCCAGCAAACCTATTGAAAGCAGGTGGTGGGGTTGCAAAAGAGTCCCACGCCCGGATTTTGGAAGGAAGCAGCCAAGGTTTGAACGTTGGCTCTTCCACCCATCATAGGACACATTATTAACGCTTGACCTCTCTCTGCAGGCGTTGCTTATCTCTAAAGTGGCACGATAGCGCCACCTACCTCATGCAACCGTCGTGAGGACTAAAACAATGTGCGTGCAATAGATAGAGCGATGCCCCTTCCACTCCGCTGCAAATCCATGTCCCAAGCCTCAGAACCCATGAATATGTCACCTTACATGGCAAAAGGCACTCTGTAAATGCAATTAAGTTGAGGATCCTGAGATGACGAGACTATCACTATCCTGGACTCCCCGGTGAGCCTCACGTAATCACAAGGGCCGTGCAAGTGAGAGAGAAGACGTGATGAAGGCAGAGTGAGGAGGACGCTGCCTGCCATGGGGCTCCTCGGATCCTCTGACCAGCATTGTTACGAACACGGCCCCAAAGTAGAAATTTAAAATACGATGGAATAAAATAGTCATTCTAATTTTTCCCGTATTCCAGAGAACTGTCTTATGTTCTTACGCACACCTAGAAGTAAGAGACCCATTTTGGAATCCACGGCACCGAAGTGAACCACGCTGGCTTTCCTTGCCAGAGAGGCACGTGAGATAGCACTTCAGAAACCAGAGAAACTCCCCAATCTCGGACAGGGCCAGTCAAGGAGGTAACAGAGGGACACATCAGATGGGCGCAGCTTACGGTCCCACTAATATTCCCCCGTGGTGCTCAGCACTCTGCCTTCTATTTTCAGCTAACTCCACTCCTGTAATCTTTCCTCTGCCTTCATTTTTTCCCACTTTGTGATAACAGCTACCATCACTTTTAAGGAATGCAATCTAGCACTCCTGTGGTTCCTTTTAGAAAAATTCTGTCCACTGCAAATACATGGGGCACTTGATAGCCACAAAGCAAAACTGTTCTGAGCGAACGACGCTGTGATTGAACTTTTAATTTTGCTGCAGCTTTGAAGTCCTGTCTCTGCATTAGCGACGTGCTGTTCCACGTGGTCACATTCAGGAGCACCCGGAAGGGAATTTTCCCCCTGCTCACACATGATGTAGATTTCCAAGGTATTCTTCAGTGCTTTTGCCATTGAGTGAAAAATAAGGCAGGTTTATATGCAATAAATAAAACAAAATCCCAGCACTTTGAAAGAGAAAAGACAGGGTGTTTGCAAAGACTTAGAGCACAAATTTAAAACTGAAAGCTACTGTAACAGTAGGCTCCACTGTAATAAGAAAAGGAAAGACTTAGCATTAGCCACTGCTTCACTGGAAGAGAAAGAAAGCATCTTTTGAGATTTTGAGATAAAGGAAAGTGAAAATATAGCTTATTAGTAATGACAAAATGCCTTCTGCCAGAGATAACCCCAGGATTTCCTGCCACCAAATCTGGGCAATAGAGCAAATGGAAGGTGCTTTTCAAAAAGCTATTTGTAACGTACAGGAAAACTGCTGTGAAACATGCTCTTGCTTTTTTGGGATAACATCTTGATTTAAAACGAGATTCCGAAGGACTGATTTGTATTGGTCAACAAAACGGTTCATACTTGCTTCTTCACCCCACAGCTATTTATTTCCTGACTAGTTTGCCACCCCATTAATCTCAAATAAATGGTGCTTCTTCCATGGGTTGCTTGTTCAGAACTCCAGGTAAGATTAACCCAGCAGCATACGCTAAAGGCAGCAACCGGCACTGCCACCGTTATCCTGACCCCCAGCTCTCAGAGAAAGGTCTTTCGCCTGCTCTCTCTTGTCCCTCACTTCATTCTCATCTCAGAAAAGAAATATGTCAAATGGAAAAATACAAGCACTGAGGACAGGTAGCATCAGAAACACAGGTACAGGGGGCCCATCTGGGCCCTCACATGTCCTGGACTCCCCCAGGAACTTTTAAAAGAGGAAGATCAAAAAGAAGCAGTATTGGCATATTACGTTCTTCAGAAGGTATTTATTTGACTCCAACAAGATGCACAGTGATATATGCATACCTGTGGGGTGGAAAACACACTGCCCTTGGGATCAGCTGTCCTGGGGTCCTGTCCCACTGTCCCCATTTACTAGATGTGCCCTTCTGGGCAAGTCACTCCATAGCCTGAGTCTTAGTTTCCTCATCTAGAAGACGCAAGTGCCACTTCCTGAAATGCAGCTGTGGCAGGTCAAAGGTGGCCACACACTTTCTGACACCTTTTCTATTGAGGTGTGAGGTCTCGGTCCCCTCTCCTTGAATTGAGCAACTACTTTGGTGAATGGGACACAGCAGAACTATCGTCGTTCCAATTTCTAAGAGCAGGCCTTACTATTCTGGAAGTTTCCATTTTCTATCGCCTGGAACACTTGCTTTGGGAGCCCTGAGCCACCGTATATAATAAAGTCCAACTATGTAAAGAAAGCAACCAAAGGGCCTGGCTGAATCCAGCCTTCCAGCCATCTTCATCAAGGTATTGTCACATGAGTGAAGGCAGCTTGGACCCTCCAGCGCAGCCCAGCCACCATCCAAATGCCAGTGAGTGACCCTCATCAATGACATGTGGAGCATAAGGCTTGCCCAGCCAAGTTCTGCCTAAATTCCTAACACACAGAATCACGAGATATAGTTTATTCTGCAACAATAGATAACCAAAACATTAGCTAAAAAGATCATTGTGAGGACCAAAAAGAAATTTTATATGGAAGAGGACTTGTAGACTACAAAGCAACATGCATTATCAATATTATACAAAAGAACGAATGTAGTCACTGAACACAGGAGTCTGCAACTATTAATTTTTGTGACATCTGCCTTTCCTATCTGTTCAGGGATGCCGAATCAAGCCAGGTGCAGTGTCACATGCCTGCTACTTGGGAGGCTGAGGTGGGAGAATCACATGAGCCTTGGAATTTGAGGCTGCAGTGCACTATGTTCGCACCTGTGAATAGCCAGTGCACTCCAGACTGGGCAACATAGTGAGACCCCATCTCTAAAAAACAAAAAACAAAGAAGTCAATTGCCATCACATGACAGTGGTGGAAATTAAAAGAAATACATTCAACTTCTTGTTTACTTTAATGAAAATGAGGACTTTGTGAGTAGGGCAAATTCCAGCTAAGAAAAGTATATACCATAAGACTAAGTTATTTACTTGGCTAAGGAATTTGGAACAATTATTTCCTTTCTTTTCTATGGCTATATTCACTTCAGAATGTTTTGAAGAAATAATCTCCATTAACAAAAATATTTAGAGAATATGGTATTCTAATTAATTATGTGAAAATTTCATCAGTGCTTCTTAAAAATCTTTCCAAAATGTGTTAATAATTTGCTTGCTTCGTAGGGAGTTCAGGAAATCCAAACTCTTTTTGTTTTTTTTGGCAAGCAGATAAAGGCTTGTTTTATTTGAATGATTGATCTGTTATCACCAAGGCCACTATGTACAGACAAGAGAGGAGATTTATTTCTTGGTCTTTTCTTCCTTGATCGCCTGGAGAAGGCCTGGAGATGCTCGTCACGGCCCTTGTGTGCTTCCTTGGTCTTAGACCTGCGGCTCTTAGACCTGCCTTGGTCTTAGACTCAGCCTGGCCAGCCGGAAGCTTCTTGTGGGCCTTGTCTGCCTTCGGCTTGTGGATGTGTTCTGGGAGAATCCACTTGTTTTTGAACACATTCCCCTTCACCTTCAGGTATGGGCTGTGATACACATGGCAGTCAATCTTCTGAGCAGCTGGTGCAGAATCGTCCCCCTCCTCATCCAGGTTACCTTCTCGGGCACTGGAGCATCGACTGTACCTTTTGGCTTATCTGTGCCCATGTGCCTGCCCCTTTGGTGGGCCAAGGTGTTTTTCCAGCACCAAGCCTGGGAACGGACAGTCATGGGCTTGCAGATGATCGGCCCATCTTTGAGCAGCTTCCAGATCTTCTGATGGGAGTTGGCACTGTATTTCTGAGAGTTCTAGAATTTTAATCTGTAAACATTTCTCCCTTACTTTGTCCCAAGAAAGATTTAAATGTGCTTGATTTTGTACGTAGTCCTTCCAGCTCATCAATAAATCAGTTTCCTATTTTTAAACATTAAAAAGGTATGACATTTTTTGTTATTTTACCTCTAATAGTAAAACCTCTATTACCCCACATTCTATTTTTCATCAAAAATTTAAGCAAAACAATTTGGAGAAATGCTTTATTAGGCAACACGTATTTTATAAATGGATGGAATTTCCCACGGCTTAGATACCATGCTTTTTAAAAGTTCTTTGTGTGCATTTTCCCACTTTCATTAATCTCTTCTTTTTATCTTACATGCTTTTTTTCTAAGGCTTGCTCAGCCAATAACTTCTTGTTTTAAATATTTCATAAAAAATATTTGGGAGTATTCATATGAAAACGATGGTTATTTTCATAATTGTGCCCTTCTTTGTAGGATCCAAATCTAAAAAAAAAAAAGTAATTCATATGTAAAAACGATTCAGAAATGTACGTTCTTATGTAAAATTTCAACCATAATCTATTGTGGGTTTACTTATCTACCCTAATGCCAGAATCGATGTGATAAATTTATAAAACAGCAAATGAATAAATAAAAGAGGAATCATGCATGTGGGGAAGGCAGACTAAAATTGTAACCTCCAAAGTGCTCTTTCCATGGAATGGAATCTTCTGGAATGATCCATAAGCATAACTGTTCAAGAATTACTGGCTGAGGTGGCGAGGCAAGATGACCGACTCGAGACATCAGTCACCAGATCATCTCAGAAAGAAGGAGAAGTTTTAGATGGAAAAAACATAGCCCAGGTGTAATTCTGAGGGAGAAGTGCCAGAAGCTACTGGAGATTCCACAGGAAGAAGGTGCAGAGCAGAACAAGAAAGAGGACCTGACTAGACATTGCTCAAAAGAAGACATCCAAATGGCCAACAGGTACGTAAAAAGATGTTCAACATCACAAATCAGGGAAATGCAAATTGAAATCACAATGAGGCATCACCTCACACCTGTTACAATGGCTGGTACCAGGGACAAAAGATAACTGCTGGCGAGGACATGAAGAAAAAGGAACCCCTGTGCGCTGTTGTGGGAATGTAAATGAGAACAGCCACTATGGAAAACATTATGGAAGATTGTCAAAAAATTAAAAATAGAACTGCCATATGATCCACCAGTCCCACTTCTTGGTGTATATCTAAAGGAAAGAAATTAATGTCAAAGAAATATCTGCACTCTTATGTTCACTGCAGTGTTATTCACAGTAGCCAAGACACAGAATGAACCTGAGCGTCCACTGACAGACGAATGGATAAAGAACATGCGGCAGGTATTCATTTACACATATATATAAGGAACACTACTCAGCCTTTAAAAAGAAGGAAATCTTATCATTTGTAGCAACACGGATGGACCTAGAGGACATTGCGCTAAGTGACATGATCCAGGCACATAAAGAAAAATACTTCATAATCTCATTTATATGTGGAATCTATAATAGTGGAATTCATAGAAGTAGAGAGTGGAATGGTGGTTGCCAGAGGCTGGTGGGGGCAGTGGTTGGGGAGATGCTGGTGAAAGGATACAAAGCTTCAATGAGACAGGATGAAAAAGTTCTGGAGATCTAGTAAAGCACTGTGAGTACAGTTCACAAATATACATTCATTTGAAAATTGCTAGAAGAGCAGATCTTAAATGTTCTCACCACGATTTTTATTTTATTTTTCTTCTTCTTCTTTTTTTTTTTTTATTTTTGAGATAGGGTCTTGCTCTGTTGCCCAGGCTGGGGTGCAATGGCACAATCATAACTCACTGTAGCCTCAAACTCCTGGGCTCAAGGGATCCTCCTGCCTCAACCTCTCAAGTAGCTGGAACTACTGTAGGTTTGCACCACCGCGCTGCGCTGGCTTCACCACAACTTTTAAATTAAGGCAGGATTTCTACTTATGCCTTTGTTATTTTCATAATTAAAATGAGTGGGAAAACAGATCTAGCTCCCTTCACAGTTGGTTTGGATCAACCTGCAGTTGTAGTTAGCCAAACATATTTTATTTGAATTTCTCTACATTCCTGGTATGTGAAGAGTAAGGAAACAAGAAAATCTTTTCCTTCCCGGATCTTCTATCTTCCATTTAAGAAGTCATCTCATTCAGCAAAACTTTCTATTTTATTAATACCTCCACTGTTACTACTACAAATACCATTGTCGCCATTGCAACGAGGGTTTAACACTGAGCATTCACTGTGCATGATTCTAAGAGTTTTATGTGTCATTCGAACCTCAAAACACCTTAGGGTATAGGCACTACTATTGTTCCCATTTTTAGATGAAGGACTGGAAGCTTAGAGAGCTTAAGCAACTGGTGCAAATTTACCCAGCTGTTTACTGGCCAAAGTGAGGACTTGAACCAGGCAGATGACCCGAGAGCCCAGGTTCTTCCCAATCACGTTACACGGATACAGGGCAAGATAAGTACAGGAATTGAAGCAAATCAAAATTTGGTCATAGCTCTTCTCATTCACTGCCTACACTTTGGTACAATTTTTTCTTATTGTAAGGAGGGACAGGGAAGAAAAAGAGAATAGAGAAATGTCTTTTCCCCCACCAAAAATGAGAAATTTCTATAGCTATTAGCTGGTGAAAGTACTAGAAATGTCAAATAGTAATAATATTGGGGCATGTTCTGTGTTTTTTTGTTTTTTTTTTTTGAGACAGAGTCTCACTTTGTTGCCTGGGCTAGAGTGCCGTGGCGTCAGCCTAGCTCACAGCAACCTCACACTCCTGGGCTCAAGCGATCCTCCTGCCTCAGCCTCCCAAGTAGCTGGGCCTACAGGCATGCGCCACCATGCCCGGCTAATTTTTTCTATGTATTTTTAGTTGTCTGATTAATTTCTTTCTATTTTTACTAGAGTCGGGGTCTCGCTCTTGCTCAGGCTGGTCTCGAACTCCTGAGCTCAAACGATCCGCCCGCCTCGGCCTCCCAGAGTGCTAGGATTGCAGGCGTGAGCCACCGCGCCCGGCCCGTGTTTGGTTTTTTATGGAAGTTTCCTCTCATCACCCAGTTACGGGGGAGAACATGCACATCCTCCAAATCATGTGTTTTGCTGCAAATAGCTTTCTCAGGTAACTTCTATCAAAAACTAAACAAAACCAACCCCAATATATTTCACAAGGTAGAATGTCTGCAATGTAAATGAATTATCCATGCTCTGTAGTCTCAATCCTAACTGCACATTAGGATAACCTGGAAAGAATATTTTAGATCCCAAAGCCCAGGTACCACCCCAGGGGGTCCCGATGAGTTGGTCTAGGGAGGGGCCCCGGCAATGGTATTTTTTAAAAGCTCCCCCACGCGAACCTCATGTGCAGCCAGAGCTGAGGATCCCAGTAACCCAATGATGCCAGCAGGCTCCCTTCCCACTTACAAGCTCCGTCACTGACCAGCCAGGCAACCCCAGCGACGTTACTTTGTGTTCCTCAACCTGAGCTTCCTCATCTATGAAATGGGGATAACAAAGAGTACCAACCAATGCAGATTAACTGAGATAGCAAAGCACCTAGAACGGGGTCTGGGACACAGCAGCACTCAATATTAGCAACTGTAGTGATGACGATGATAATGATGATGGTGATGTGCCGTTTTATTTTTTTTACCTGAGGTTGGGAATACAACATATTTCTCAATTCCAGAGAGCAGGGACCATAACTTCAACCCAAGCAGGATTTTATCATCTTTACCATGGGCTCCCTTACCTGGAACAAACCTCTAGAACCAAATATAATTTCTAGCTCATTTTGAGGTGACATGGAAGTTCCCTAGAAGGGACACAGTAGCTCCTAATTGTAGCACAACGTAAAGGGACTCGCTCACCTGGGGTTAAAGTGGATTTTCTTGGGAACTTCTCGGTGGTCTATGACCACTCTCTGGTTGTCTCTGTAATGAATGGGGTCATCAGGGATCCTAAATTTGGCCATCTGAATTTCGGAATCACTCAGTTCAGCGCGGGAGATTCTGGCATAACCCAATCTGTAGCAAAAATAGAAACGATTTGTCAAGGTTTCATTATCCTATAGAAATATAATGAGGTCTAGGTGATAGCACCTTCATTATTAAGCCAACTTCCCATTTCTAACTCTATATATCGCAACTAGAATTAACTTGATTTATTCATCTAAATGTTGACAAAAATATTGCTTTTAGATTTAAATGAACAAGGAATATGCACACAGGTTTAATTAACCGAATATCCTTAGCAACCTTACTTCACCTTTTACGCTAATGAATATTCTGTCTGTACAAACTGCCTCCCACGCAATTATGGGAGGCCTAACTCAATTATGTTTTGAGTTAATAACAGGAATTCTTCAGAATGACAGGCGTGTATGCCTAAATTCCTTCTTACCTTTAAAAATCCAAATACCACATGCATATTTTCAGCCACACTTATAAGTATAAAAATCAAAGATGTTGTATTCCTGAAAAAATTCCACATCCTGTTTTGGCTTAGAGCTTTCAGTTCTCTGGGAAATTCAAAGCACTTTGTAGATGTTATCCAAATATTTCTTACTGAAGAGTTCAGATGGAAAAATGGGGGAACTGCCAGCAGCAAAGAATTCATTTTATTTTATTTATATTTTACTTCTTCGAAAAAAGTAGGTCAGCTTTACTCATTCACTTATTCAACGAAGTAAATATATGTATGTGGTCCTACTATGTGCAGACACTGTTCTAGGTACTGGGGACAGGTGGTGAACAGAATGAAGTCCTTGCCCTGTGGAGCTTTCTTTCTAGTTGGAAGCACACATTAAACACGTGTGCATGAACACAATGGATCTGGGTGACAGATATGTGCCAGGGGACACACAGAGAAAGGAGGACAGGCAGGGATGATGGCAGAGGTTGCAATTTTATGTCGGATAGTCAGGGCATACCTCTCTGATAAGGCGACACAGGAACAAAACATCGAATGAAGTGAGGGAGCCAGTCATAGAGATACTGCAGGAAGGGGGTTTTAGGGAAAGGGAACAGCCAATGCAAAGGTCCTGAGGTAGAAATGTGTGTGGTGTTTTGGGGACCAACTCCGCTGTGACTGGAGAGGTGCGTAAGAGGGACCGTCACAGGAGATGCGCTGGGGGTGGGGTGGGAGCAGATGACGCAGAGCCTTCCTCACAGGGCTGCTATAAGGACGTCGGGGGGTTTTCTGAGAGTGAGATGGGAATCCAGCAGAGGGTTTGGGGCAGAGGTCTGCGACGGCTCCTGGGTAGAGAATAGCCTTCAGGGAAAGGGTCGAAGCAGGGAGACCAGTTAAGAGGCCACTGCAATAACATAGGTAGAAAATGACAAGGGCTTGGTCCAGCATGGTGAGGGGAGAAGCACTTAAAACATAGCCTGTAACTACATACCTGTAACTGTATACAAAATCGAAACAGAAACCCAGAGCCAGGGCCTGCCAAGGCGGCAAGTCTGCCCACCGGGGAGGTAAGAAGAGCTGTAACTGAGCACCAGATGTGGCTTGGAGCTGTCAGGCTAATGCACTAGTCCAAGCTCAGGTCCCAAATCCCTGCGGTTCCTTGTCATTCTAGGCCACTGTCTCTAGTAAATCTAGGCTATTTATTAATATTTCCCAAATCTCTAAGGTCAGAGTTCTAACTCATTTCATAGACACTGCCTTCAAGGGTGCTCCAAAAGTTCCCTGAAGATAAGGAACCTGACAATCCAAATTTTCCATTAAAATAGGGAATCTCAGCCAGGCACATGGCTCACGCCTGTAGTCCTAGCACTCTGAGAGGCCGCGATGGGAGGATTGCTTGAGGCCAGGAGTTCGAGACCAGCTTGAGCAAGAGCAAGACCCCCGTCTCTACAAAAAACAGAACAATTAGCCGGGCATGGTGGTGCCCGCCCGTAGTCCCAGCTACTCAGGAGGCTGGCACCTTTCCAGCCCCACCGGCCTCATCCTTCCTCAGATCCACCCGGCACTCTTGCCCGGGGCTTTTGCACTGGCTGGTCCCTCTACGAGGAAGGGTCTCCTCCCCGGTGGCGACATGGCCCACTCCTGCCAATCCTGGCTCAAGCGTCAGCTTCTAGGAAGACCCGCCCCGCCCCTACGTACAGCTGCACCCACCTCCGCGTTCTGGACTCTCCTTACATGGCTCAGCTTTTCCCACCTCTCGTCACCCTCGAAAGTGACACATCCTGCAGTTACTCCTTCTGCTAGTTGTCCGTCCTCCCCCTGCCAGCGCGGGTCCTGCCCTGTCTTGCTTACAGCTTTCCCCCCGGGCCTGGCATCCATGCTGCTGGGTCAGTCTTGGCGAATGACGAATGGGTCTGCTTCACTGGACTGTCACTCATCACCGGACAAGCTCTGTCCCCACTGGGTAATATTTTTATATGGGATGGTTTTTTAAAAAATACCATTTACCTAGAGCTCTCACCACTGTAGAGTAGTGGCCCCAGCTAGTTGGTTAACTTACCCAAGATTACTGATTAGAAGCTGGTACAGCTGGAATCGAAGCCCAGGACTTCCTTATCCCGTGGTCCATGCTGCTTCTACCAAGCCACGGTCAAAAATGGTGCCATTCCTAACACGTGTTGACAGCTACGTACTTATCACACTTAATTGCTTCCACAGTCTCCTCGTTATATAATTAAGTTTAATTTGCTTAGCTATTTATACCTTCTTAAATCATGAGACCAGGCCTTGAAAAAAAAACGTTGAACTGCGTAACTAGCCAAATCAATGTTTGTTTAAAAAAGTAACAACAATTAATTGCTTCCATAAAGTTTTTCCTCTAAGATAGACCCAAAAGATCACAGTAATAACAGATGAAAAAAACAAAAACCAAACCCCTCTGCTCACCTGATCAGCCCTCGATACATAATATATTCACACCATCTGTCATGATCTGTGCTGTCGATATCCTAATAAAGAACAGAGAAGAGCACGTTTAAAGCATAAAAAAACAAAGCTCTACGCTGCATTGCCCCCCAAAAAATGTGATAAATATCCCTTTGTGCATGCTACTTTCTCTTCCTGGCCCCTACTGTTTCTTTAAGGTCCAAATTATTTGTTCGTTCTACAGATATTTCTTGAGCACCTACTATGTGCCCATCTAGCTCCTGTACTATATATGGGGGATACAAAGATGAAGGTGGTCTAGGAGAGGGAGTGAGGAAAATCGGTGACTACGCTATAGTCTTGGCTTCCTGCGGCTTTCCAAGCCTCTCATCCCAAGCAGAATTGACCACCTCTGCATCGGCCATCCTGTGTTGTGCTGTAGGCGCACGCCATTGTGCCAGTTCTTTGTTCTCATGTCTCTACTCTCCCCTTCCTGCGTGGAGGGGACTCTTCATCACTTCTGGCTGCCTGGTACTTAGCATGAAGCTTGGCGTTCAGCGGGTGCCCAATCTGTGTTTGTTAAATCGAATCATGGAAAAAAACACATTTCAGGAGCAATCATGAGTCTTTTTGATGTTGAAAGCTTGAGAC